ATATATATATATATATATATATATATAGTATATATAAAATTGTTATTTTTATGCTAGTGGAAATTATGCCATAAAAATTATATATAGCATATTTTTTATTTAAAAAAATAGATTTTGAGCGAATTTATCATGTAAAATTAACTTTGAGTAAAAATAAATTTAAATACTCTTCATAACAGAATAATTTTAAATAATTATTATTAAATCTAATTAATCCCAACAAAATTAATTAAGTTCTAATTAATTCTCATTGTCGTATTAATCTAACACTTCCCCACCAATAGTATCACCAATACACCATAATATCATATAAATCACAATAATTTCAAAAAAGTATCTATGACTTTTTAGGAGTTACACATGACGATTTGCTGAGGGCGGAGATAATTACTCCTACCACAGAAGATATGCATGCTGGACATTAACTATAAAGGATCTGCCCATAAATTCGAAGAAAGGCGAGGACCGATACGCCAAGGTCATGATTGCATTCTTATAGAAGGATGCAACAAGTATCATCCCCATAACGATAATCCCATGGTCATCACCGTGATTTGTGATGATCAGGAAAGTAGAATAGTCTTAGTAGATCAAAAAATATCTGCACATAACCTCACAAGATCATCATCCATATTTATCAACAAAACCTCCCGCAACAATCTATAATAAAACTAGGAGTTTAATTTTTAATATATAACACATTTTGCATCACCTTTACATGTTAATGTTAAGATATTGATAAAAAAAATTAGAAAATAATAATTGCATTTAATTTAATTTAAACTATTTTATTTATATCGTGAAAAATTTTAAATAAAACTTTGATTTAGTGAGATGGCTATGATTTTTTTGGTGAAAAGTAAAATGAAAATTATACGACATTTTAAAGCAACTATTTTGTGTTTGGAAGGTTAGATTCGGTAAAATCATGTACATATCAAACTCTTATCTTACTTTATGTTATCTAACTTTGATCTCGGGTCCATATAAAATACATGATATAATTAAATCTTAATGTGTTTATATCCAACTCATTTATCCTTAATATGTCTTTATTTTATCATAACTAAATCACCGACTAACCTTGAACTACTTATAATCAATATTTTGATATTAACTTATTCATCGTTATAGATAAATTATCATAATAACAAATTCAAGATAATTTAGATACATGGATGAGCCCAATTTTATTATTCACTAGTTTGTATGTATTCTTTTGTACAATATTTGTTTGTGTCATTCATTATTTCTATTACTAATGTTAGAAATTAATAATTGTATTTGGATAAATAAGGTTAAATGTTTGAAAATTTCTAGGACATTTAGGCCATACTTTGCGAGTTCTTACTCACTCCTGTGGGTGTCTTTTTGTTGTGACCAACTCATGTAACATACTTTTTTTTGTGAAGAAAAAACTAATTTAGGATATCGATTAGATAATTCAACACTATTTTTTAGGACAACCAAACTACATTCTCTATATAATTCATTTTCCTAGTTATAATATTTCAATAACAAATACGGTAGAATTATACATGTTTATAATGGGTTCGTTGTCCGTGTTATAGCATTATCTTAATGAGTATAATTATGCTACATTCATGTTTTGCCATAGAGGTTAATTATGATTCAAAAAGCTCTCATTATCAATGGAGAAAGACGTCTTATTTTTTCAGGTGCAATACACTATCCAAGAAGCACTGTGGAGATGTGGCCTGACCTTATTCAAAAGGCCAAAGATGGTGGCCTTGATGCCATTGAAACTTATATATTTTGGGATCGTCACGAACCTGTTCAACGTCAATATAATTTCTCAGGAAATTTGGATTTTGTCAAATTTTTCAAGCTTATCCAAGAAGCTGGACTATATGCCATTATGAGGATTGGTCCTTATGCATGTGCGGAATGGAACTATGGAGGGTTCCCGTTGTGGCTTCACAATATTCCTGGGATCGAGCTAAGAACAGATAATCAGGTTTACAAGAATGAAATGCAAATTTTTACCACAAAGATCGTGAATGTGGCAAAAGAAGCAAATTTGTTTGCATCACAAGGAGGTCCCATTCTTCTAGCTCAAATTGAGAACGAATATGGTGATATCATGTGGAATTACAAAGATGCAGGGAAGGCATACGTTAAATGGTGTGCTCAGATGGCCCTAGCACAAAATATTGGGGTTCCATGGATCATGTGTCAGCAACCTGATGCTCCTCAACCCATCATAAATACTTGCAATGGATACTATTGTCATAATTTTAAACCCAATAACCTAAAAAGTCCTAAAATGTTCACTGAAAATTGGATTGGTTGGTTCCAAAAATGGGGTGAAAGGGTTCCCCATAGAAGTGCTGAAGATTCAGCTTTCTCAGTCGCACGCTTTTTCCAAAATGGAGGTGTATTAAACAATTACTACATGTACCATGGAGGAACTAACTTTGGCCGCACAGCAGGTGGACCATATATGACAACATCTTATAACTATGATGCACCGATTGATGAGTATGGGAATTTGAATCAACCAAAATGGGGACATCTTAAGCAACTTCATGCAGCAATTAAATTGGGCGAAAATGTTCTTACAAATTATATATCAATAACAACACAGATCTGGGCAATGGGATCACACTTACAACATATGCTAATTCCACTGGCGCAAGATTTTGTTACCTGAGCATAATGACACTATTAAAGATGCAAATGTTGACTTACAAAATGATGGTAAATACTTTGTTCCTGCCTGGTCCGTCACCATTCTTAATGGATGCAATAAAGAAATTTTCAATACGGCAAAGGTTAACAGTCAAACCTCAATAATGGTGAAAATGAGTGGTGATAATAGTTCTAATGGACTCAATTGGGAATGGAAAATGGAGCCAAAGAAAGACACCATGCACGGAAAGGGAAATATTAAAGCACACCAGCTTTTGGAGCAAAAGGAACTAACCTTGGATGCTAGTGACTATTTATGGTACATGACTAGTGTTGATATCAATGACACGTCAATTTGGAGCAATTCAACTCTCCGTGTGAACACTATGGGCCATACACTTCATGGTTATGTTAATAGGAAGTATATAGGATACCAATTTAGCCAATGGGGAAATAAATTCACTTATGAAAAGAACGTTTCTTTGAAGAATGGAACAAACGTTATAACTTTGCTTAGCGCCACCGTCGGCTTGCAAATTATGGTGCATGGTTTTGACGAGATAAAAACGGGCATATCAGGTGGCCCTGTTCAATTGATTGGAAAAAATAACGTTACTATGGATTTGTCAACCAACCTTTGGTCTTATAAGGTTGGTTTGAATGGTGAGAGGAAACGTTTATATGATTCGAAATCACATGTCGGTGTATCATGGAACACTAATTCACCCCATATTCCTATTGGAAAACCTATGACTTGGTATAAGGCAGAGTTTAAAGCTCCTTTTGGAAGAAACCCTATTGTGGTGGACTTCCAAGGCCTGGGTAAAGGACATGCTTGGGTGAATGGACATAGCATTGGTCGTTATTGGCCTTCTTGGGTTACATCTACAAATGGATGCAGTGACACGTGCGATTATCGTGGAAAATATGTAAAGGAAAAGTGCAACACCAATTGTGGAAGTCCATCGCAAAGGTGGTACCATGTACCAAGGTCATTCTTGAATGATGACATGAACACATTGGTTTTATTTGAAGAAATAGGTGGTAATCCTCAAAATGTTCAGTTCCAAACTGTGACAACGGGAATTATTTGTGCTAATGTACATGAAGGTGCACAACTAGAACTATCATGCCAAAATGGACAAGTAATTTCACAAATCCAGTTTGCTAGCTTTGGAAGTCCACAAGGTCAATGTGGTTCTTTTAAGAAAGGCTCTTGGGAAGCTACAAATAGTAAATCTGTTGTGGAAGCTTCATGCATAGGAAAAAGTAATTGTGGGTTTATAGTCACAAAAGAAATGTTTAGTGTTCCACTTGGCGTAACAAATAGTATAGCTAGATTAGCAGTGCAGGTGACATGTTAAGTCAACGTTTCCTACAAATTAATTTGAAAGTTAAATGTTCAATTATCAAAATTTAAATTAAATAATATATTAAAATTTTTCACATCAAATCACATCGAAAGTTAAACTCGGTTTTTCATTATTATAAACTTTCATGTAAGTTGTGGTAACGACAAAAGTTTTTTTGTCAACCACCCAATATCTTTCGAAATTTCTACCATAAAAAGTTGTATCATTCTTAAAGAGAAAAATGAACCATATAGTCGCCAACCATATGTTATATCTCACCTGCATTAGAAATCGTTTGTATCTTTGTTGAAAATTAATAAAATTATAGTGAAACAATACAAAAACTCACATTGTTGCTCCAAAAACTTAACGTTTTCAAGTTTGTCATTTCTTTCTAATACAAAACTTGCATCACGCATTTTATTTTTCTTTTGAAAATAAAATCATAGTTTTATGGGTATATTTTTTTAGGTAAATGTCTGTTTTTTTATTCTTAAATGTGCATTATTGTTTCATATTTTTTTAGAACAAATTTTATATATTTAGTTGGACAATTATTTATTGAAAATATTTTATCAAAAGAGTGAAGGATATGAATACATATTATTGAGTCATGTGAAGTTTATCACTAAAACTTAATATATATATATATATATATATACTATATATATATATATATATATATATATATATATATAATATATATTATAGGTTATTGATTTTTGGAATTCATTAGCTAGAAATAAATATATTTATCTATCTACTTAATCTAAATCTAAGATTGTCATGATGATAACCTATCACACAACACAAAATCTAAGTTGATGTGTTATTATATTAGATTTTTCAATTTTATATTACTTTTTTCTAACAATACTATTATACTATGTTTAAATTACATGTAATTAAACTTTACAATCTTTAAACAACCCAAAAAATCTTCTTATATAAAACAACCAATTAAATAATTAGATAATTGAAATCTAAACACACACAGACACACAAATTATATATATATATATATATATATATATATATAAAATTGTTATTTTTATGCTAGTGGAAATTATGCCATAAAAATTATATATAGCATATTTTTTATTTAAAAAATAGATTTTGAGCGAATTATCATGTAAAATTAACTTTGAGTAAAAATAAATTTAAATACTCTTCATAACAGAATAATTTTAAATAATTATTATTAAATCTAATTAATCCCAACAAAATTAATTAAGTTCTAAATAATTCTCATTGTCGTATTAATCTAACACTTCCCCACCAATAGTATCACCAATACACCATAATATCATATAAATCACAATAATTTCCAAAAAATTATCTATGACTTTTAGGGAGTTACACATGACGATTTGCTGAGGGCGGAGATAATTACTCCTACCAAAGAAGATATGCATGCTGGACATTAACTATAAAGGATCTGCCCATAAATTCGAAGAAAGGCGAGACCTATACGCCAAAGGTCATGATTGCATTCTTATAGAAGGATGCAACAAGTATTCATCCCCATAACGATAATCCCATGGTCATCACCGTGATTTGTGATGATCAGGAAAGTAGAATAGTCTTAGTAGATCAAGAAATATCTGCACATAACCTCACAAGATCATCATCCATATTTATCAACAAAACCTCCCGCAACAATCTATAATAAAACTAGGAGTTTAATTTTTAATATATAACACATTTTGCATCACTTTACATGTTTAATGTTAAGATATTGATAAAAAAAATTAGAAAATAAATAATTGCATTTAATTTAAATTTAAACTATTTTATTTATATCGTGAAAAATTTTAAATAAAACTTTGATTTAGTGAGATGGCTATGATTTTTTTGGTGAAAAGTAAAATGAAAATTATAGACATTTTAAAGCAACTATTTTTGTGTTTGGAAGGTTAGATTCGGTAAAATCATGTACATATCAAACTCTTATCTTACTTTATGTTATCTAACTTTGATCTCGGGTCCATATAAAATACATGATATAATTAAATCTTAATGTGTTTATATCCAACTCATTTATCCTTAATATGTCTTTTATTTTATCATAACTAAATCACCGACTAACCTTGAACTACTTATAATCAATATTTGGAATTAACTATTCATCGTTATAGATAAATTATCATAATAACAAATTCAAGATAATTTAGATACATGGGATGAGCCCAATTTTATTATTCACTAGTTGTATGTATTCTTTTGTACAATATTCGTTTGTGTCATTCATTATTTCTATTACTAATGTTAGAAATTAATAATTGTATTTGGATAAATAAGGTTAAATGTTTGAAAATTTCTAGGACATTTAGGCCATACTTTGCGAGTTCTTACTCACTCCTTGGGTGTCTTTTTGTTGTGACCAACTCATGTAACATACTTTTTTTGTGAAGAAAAAACTAATTTAGGATATCGATTAGATAATTCAACACTATTTTTAGGAACAACCAAACTACATTCTCTATATAATTCATTTTCCTAGTTATAATATTTCAATAACAAATACGGTAGAATTATACATGTTTATAATGGGTTCGTTGTCGTGTTATAGCATTATCTTAATGAGTATAATTATGCTACATTCATGTTTTGCCATAGAGGTTAATTATGATTCAAAAGCTCTCATTATCAATGGAGAAAGACGTCTTATTTTTTCAGGTGCAATACACTATCCAAGAAGCACTGTGGAGATGTGGCCGCCTGACCTTATTCAAAAGGCCAAAGATGGTGGCCTTGATGCCATTGAAACTTATATATTTTGGGATCGTCACGAACCTGTTCAACGTCAATATAATTTCTCAGGAAATTTGGATTTTGTCAAATTTTTCAAGCTTATCCAAGAAGCTGGACTATATGCCATTATGAGGATTGGTCCTTATGCATGTGCGGAATGGAACTATGGAGGGTTCCCGTTGTGGCTTCACAATATTCCTGGGATCGAGCTAAGAACAGATAATCAGGTTTACAAGAATGAAATGCAAATTTTTACCACAAAGATCGTGAATGTGGCAAAAGAAGCAAATTTGTTTGCATCACAAGGAGGTCCCATTCTTCTAGCTCAAATTGAGAACGAATATGGTGATATCATGTGGAATTACAAAGATGCAGGGAAGGCATACGTTAAATGGTGTGCTCAGATGGCCCTAGCACAAAATATTGGGGTTCCATGGATCATGTGTCAGCAACCTGATGCTCCTCAACCCATCATAAATACTTGCAATGGATACTATTGTCATAATTTTAAACCCAATAACCTAAAAAGTCCTAAAATGTTCACTGAAAATTGGATTGGTTGGTTCCAAAAATGGGGTGAAAGGGTTCCCCATAGAAGTGCTGAAGATTCAGCTTTCTCAGTCGCACGCTTTTTCCAAAATGGAGGTGTATTAAACAATTACTACATGTACCATGGAGGAACTAACTTTGGCCGCACAGCAGGTGCACCATATATGACAACATCTTATAACTATGATGCACCGATTGATGAGTATGGGAATTTGAATCAACCAAAATGGGACATCTTAAGCAACTTCATGCAGCAATTAAATTGGGCGAAAATGTTCTTACAAATTATATATCAATAAACAACACAGATCTGGGCAATGGGATCACACTTACAACATATGCTAATTCCACTGGCGCAAGATTTTGTTACCTGAGCAATAATGACACTATTAAAGATGCAAATGTTGACTTACAAAATGATGGTAAATACTTTGTTCCTGCCTGGTCCGTCACCATTCTTAATGGATGCAATAAAGAAATTTTCAATACGGCAAAGGTTAACAGTCAACCTCAATAATGGTGAAAATGAGTGGTGATAATAGTTCTAATGGACTCAATTGGGAATGGAAAATGGAGCCAAAGAAAGACACCATGCACGGAAAGGGAAATATTAAAGCACACCAGCTTTTGGAGCAAAAGGAACTAACCTTGGATGCTAGTGACTATTTATGGTACATGACTAGTGTTGATATCAATGACACGTCAATTTGGAGCAATTCAACTCTCCGTGTGAACACTATGGGCCATACACTTCATGGTTATGTTAATAGGAAGTATATAGGATACCAATTTAGCCAATGGGGAAATAAATTCACTTATGAAAAGAACGTTTCTTTGAAGAATGGAACAACGTTATAACTTTGCTTAGCGCCACCGTCGGGCTTGCAAATTATGGTGCATGGTTTGACGAGATAAAAACGGGCATATCAGGTGGCCCCTGTTCAATTGATTGGAAAAAATAACGTTACTATGGATTTGTCAACCAACCTTTGGTCTTATAAGGTTGGTTTGAATGGTGAGAGGAAACGTTTATATGATTCGAAATCACATGTCGGTGTATCATGGAACACTAATTCACCCCATATTCCTATTGGAAAACCTATGACTTGGTATAAGGCAGAGTTTAAAGCTCCTTTGGAAGAAACCCTATTGTGGTGGACTTCCAAGGCCTGGGTAAAGGACATGCTTGGGTGAATGGACATAGCATTGGTCGTTATTGGCCTTCTTGGGTTACATCTACAAATGGATGCAGTGACACGTGCGATTATCGTGGAAAATATGTAAAGGAAAAGTGCAACACCAATTGTGGAAGTCCATCGCAAAGGTGGGTACCATGTACCAAGGTCATTCTTGAATGATGACATGAACACATTGGTTTTATTTGAAGAAATAGGTGGTAATCCTCAAAATGTTCAGTTCCAAACTGTGACAACGGGAATTATTTGTGCTAATGTACATGAAGGTGCACAACTAGAACTATCATGCCAAAATGGACAAGTAATTTCACAAATCCAGTTTGCTAGCTTTGGAAGTCCACAAGGTCAATGTGGTTCTTTTAAGAAAGGCTCTTGGGAAGCTACAAATAGTAAATCTGTTGTGGAAGCTTCATGCATAGGAAAAAGTAATTGTGGGTTTATAGTCACAAAAGAAATGTTTAGTGTTCCACTTGGCGTAACAAATAGTATAGCTAGATTAGCAGTGCAGGTGACATGTTAAGTCAACGTTTCCTACAAATTAATTTGAAAGTTAAATGTTCAATTATCAAAATTTAAATTAAATAATATATTAAAATTTTCACATCAAATCACATCGAAAGTTAAACTCGTTTTTCATTATTTTAAACTTTCATGTAAGTTGTGGTAACGACAAAAGTTTTTTTGTCAACCACCCAATATCTTTCGAAATTTCTACCATAAAAAGTTGTATCATTCTTAAAGAGAAAAATGAACCATATAGTCGCCAACCATATGTTATATCTCATCTGCATTAGAAATCGTTTGTATCTTTGTTGAAAATTAATAAAATTATAGTGAAACAATACAAAAACTCACATTGTTGCTCCAAAAACTTAACGTTTTCAAGTTTGTCATTTCTTTCTAATACAAAACTTGCATCACGCATTTTATTTTTCTTTTGAAAATAAAATCATAGTTTTATGGGTATATTTTTTTAGGTAAATGTCTGTTTTTTTATTCTTAAATGTGCATTATTGTTTCATATTTTTTTAGAACAAATTTTATATATTTAGTTGGACAATTATTTATTGAAAATATTTTATCAAAAGAGTGAAGGATATGAATACATATTATTGAGTCATGTGAAGTTTATCACTAAAACTTAATATATATATCTATATATATATATATATATATATATATATATATATATATTATATATATATATATATTATATATATATATATATATATATATATATATATATATGATAGGTTATTGATTTTTGGAATTCATTAGCTAGAAATAAATATATTTATCTATCTACTTAATCTAAATCTAAGATTGTCATGATGATAACCTATCACACAACACTAAATCTAAGTTGATGTGTTATTATATTAGATTTTTCAATTTTATATTACTTTTTTCTAACAATACTATTATACTATGTTTAAATTACATGTAATTAAACTTTACAATCTTTAAACAACCCAAAAAATCTTCTTATATTAAAACAACCAATTAAATAATTAGATAATTGAAATCTAAACACACACAGACACACAGATATATATATATATATATATATATATATATATATATATATATATATATATATATATATATATATATATATATATATATATATATATATATATATATATATATATATATATATATAATATATATATATATATATATATATATATATATATATATATATATATATATATATATATATATATATATATATATATATATAAAATTGTTATTTTTATGCTAGTGGAAATTATGGCCATAAAAATTATATATAGCATATTTTTTATTTAAAAAATAGATTTTGAGCGAATTTATCATGTAAAATTAACTTTGAGTAAAAATAAATTTAAATACTCTTCATAACAGAATAATTTTAAATAATTATTATTAAATCTAATTAATCCCAACAAAATTAATTAAGTTCTAAATAATTCTCATTGTCGTATTAATCTAACACTTCCCCACCAATAGTATCACCAATACACCATAATATCATATAAATCACAATAATTTCCAAAAAAATTATCTATGACTTTTAGGGAGTTACACATGACGATTTGCTGAGGGCGGAGATAATTACTCCTACCAAAGAAGATATGCATGCTGGACATTAACTATAAAGGATCTGCCCATAAATTCGAAGAAAGGCGAGACCGATACGCCAAAGGTCATGATTGCATTCTTATAGAAGGATGCAACAAGTATTCATCCCCATAACGATAATCCCATGGTCATCACCGTGATTTGTGATGATCAGGAAAGTAGAATAGTCTTAGTAGATCAAGAAATATCTGCACATAACCTCACAAGATCATCATCCATATTTATCAACAAAACCTCCCGCAACAATCTATAATAAAACTAGGAGTTTAATTTTTAATATATAACACATTTTGCATCACTATACATGTTTAATGTTAAGATATTGATAAAAAAAATTAGAAAATAAATAATTGCATTTAATTTAAATTTAAACTATTTTATTTATATCGTGAAAAATTTAAATAAAACTTTGATTTAGTGAGATGGCTATGATTTTTTTGGTGAAAAGTAAAATGAAAATTATAAGACATTTTAAAGCAACTATTTTTGTGTTTGGAAGGTTAGATTCGGTAAAATCATGTACATATCAAACTCTTATCTTACTTTATGTTATCTAACTTTGATCTCGGGTCCATATAAAATACATGATATAATTAAATCTTAATGTGTTTATATCCAACTCATTTATCCTTAATATGTCTTTATTTTATCATAACTAATCACCGACTAACCTTGAACTACTTATAATCAATATTTTGGAATTAACTATTCATCGTTATAGATAAATTATCATAATAACAAATTCAAGATAATTTAGATACATGGATGAGCCCAATTTTATTATTCACTAGTTGTATGTATTCTTTTGTACAATATTCGTTTGTGTCATTCATTATTTCTATTACTAATGTTAGAAATTAATAATTGTATTTGGATAAATAAGGTTAAATGTTTGAAAATTTCTAGGACATTTAGGCCATACTTTGCGAGTTCTTACTCACTCCTTGGGTGTCTTTTTGTTGTGACCAACTCATGTAACATACTTTTTTTGTGAAGAAAAAACTAATTTAGGATATCGATTAGATAATTCAACACTATTTTTTAGGAACAACCAAACTACATTCTCTATATAATTCATTTTCCTAGTTATAATATTTCAATAACAAATACGGTAGAATTATACATGTTTATAATGGGTTCGTTGTCGTGTTATAGCATTATCTTAATGAGTATAATTATGCTACATTCATGTTTTGCCATAGAGGTTAATTATGATTCAAAAGCTCTCATTATCAATGGAGAAAGACGTCTTATTTTTTCAGGTGCAATACACTATCCAAGAAGCACTGTGGAGATGTGGCCTGACCTTATTCAAAAGGCCAAAGATGGTGGCCTGATGCCATTGAAACTTATATATTTTGGGATCGTCACGAACCTGTTCAACGTCAATATAATTTCTCAGGAAATTTGGATTTTGTCAAATTTTTCAAGCTTATCCAAGAAGCTGGACTATATGCCATTATGAGGATTGGTCCTTATGCATGTGCGGAATGGAACTATGGAGGGTTCCCGTTGTGCTTCACAATATTCCTGGATCGAGCTAAGAACAAGATAATCAGGTTTACAAGAATGAAATGCAAATTTTTACCACAAAGGTCGTGAATGTGGCAAAAGAAGCAAATTTGTTTGCATCACAAGGAGGTCCCATTCTTCTAGCTCAAATTGAGAACGAATATGGTGATATCATGTGGAATTACAAAGATGCAGGGAAGGCATACGTTAAATGGTGTGCTCAGATGGCCCTAGCACAAAATATTGGGGTTCCATGGATCATGTGTCAGCAACCTGATGCTCCTCAACCCATCATAAATACTTGCAATGGATACTATTGTCATAATTTTAACCCAATAACCTAAAAAGTCCTAAAATGTTCACTGAAAATTGGATTGGTTGGTTCCAAAAATGGGGTGAAAGGGTTCCCCATAGAAGTGCTGAAGATTCAGCTTTCTCAGTCGCACGCTTTTTCCAAAATGGAGGTGTATTAAACAATTACTACATGTACCATGGAGGAACTAACTTTGGCCGCACAGCAGGTGGGCCATATATGACAACATCTTATAACTATGATGCACCGATTGATGAGTATGGGAATTTGAATCAACCAAAATGGGGACATCTTAAGCAACTTCATGCAGCAATTAAATTGGGCGAAAATGTTCTTACAAATTATATATCAATAAACAACACAGATCTGGGCAATGGGATCACACTTACAACATATGCTAATTCCACTGGCGCAAGATTTTGTTACCTGAGCAATAATGACACTATTAAAGATGCAAATGTTGACTTACAAAATGATGGTAAATACTTTGTTCCTGCCTGGTCCGTCACCATTCTTAATGGATGCAATAAAGAAATTTTCAATACGGCAAAGGTTAACAGTCAAACCTCAATAATGGTGAAAATGAGTGGTGATAATAGTTCTATGGACTCAATTGGAATGGAAAATGGAGCCAAAGAAAGACACCATGCACGGAAAGGGAAATATTAAAGCACACCAGCTTTTGGAGCAAAAGGAACTAACCTTGGATGCTAGTGACTATTTATGGTACATGACTAGTGTTGATATCAATGACACGTCAATTTGGAGCAATTCAACTCTCCGTGTGAACACTATGGGCCATACACTTCATGGTTATGTTAATAGGAAGTATATAGGATACCAATTTAGCCAATGGGGAAATAAATTCACTTATGAAAAGAACGTTTCTTTGAAGAATGGAACAAATGTTATAACTTTGCTTAGCGCCACCGTCGGGCTTGCAAATTATGGTGCATGGTTTGACGAGATAAAAACGGGCATATCAGGTGGCCCTGTTCAATTGATTGGAAAAAATAACGTTACTATGGATTTGTCAACCAACCTTTGGTCTTATAAGGTTGGTTTGAATGGTGAGAGGAAACGTTTATATGATTCGAAATCACATGTCGGTGTATCATGGAACACTAATTCACCCCATATTCCTATTGGAAAACCTATGACTTGGTATAAGGCAGAGTTTAAAGCTCCTTTTGGAAGAAACCCTATTGTGGTGGACTTCCAAGGCCTGGGTAAAGGACATGCTTGGGTGAATGGACATAGCATTGGTCGTTATTGGCCTTCTTGGGTTACATCTACAAATGGATGCAGTGACACGTGCGATTATCGTGGAAAATATGTAAAGGAAAAGTGCAACACCAATTGTGGAAGTCCATCGCAAAGGTGGTACCATGTACCAAGGTCATTCTTGAATGATGACATGAACACATTGGTTTTATTTGAAGAAATAGGTGGTAATCCTCAAAATGTTCAGTTCCAAACTGTGACAACGGGAATTATTTGTGCTAATGTACATGAAGGTGCACAACTAGAACTATCATGCCAAAATGGACAAGTAATTTCACAAATCCAGTTTGCTAGCTTTGGAAGTCCACAAGGTCAATGTGGTTCTTTTAAGAAAGGCTCTTGGGAAGCTACAAATAGTAAATCTGTTGTGGAAGCTTCATGCATAGGAAAAAGTAATTGTGGGTTTATAGTCACAAAAGAAATGTTTAGTGTTCCACTTGGCGTAACAAATAGTATAGCTAGATTAGCAGTGCAGGTGACATGTTAAGTCAACGTTTCCTACAAATTAATTTGAAAGTTAAATGTTCAATTATCAAAATTTAAATTAAATAATATATTAAAATTTGCAAATCAAATCACATCGAAAGTTAAACTCGTTTTTCATTATTTTAAACTTTCATGTAAGTTGTGGTAACGACAAAAGTTTTTTTGTCAACCACCCAATATCTTTCGAAATTTCTACCATAAAAACTTGTATCATTCTTAAAGAGAAAAATGAACCATATAGTCGCCAACCATATGTTATATCTCACCTGCATTAGAAATCGTTTGTATCTTTGTTGAAAATTAATAAAATTATAGTGAAACAATACAAAAACTCACATTGTTGCTCCAAAAACTTAACGTTTTCAAGTTTGTCATTTCTTTCTAATACAAAACTTGCATCACGCATTTTATTTTTCTTTTGAAAATAAAATCATAGTTTTATGGGTATATTTTTTTAGGTAAATGTCTGTTTTTTTTATTCTTAAATGTGCATTATTGTTTCATATTTTTTTAGTACAAATTTTATATATTTAGTTGGACAATTATTTATTGAAAATATTTTATCAAAAGAGTGAAGGATATGAATACATATTATTGAGTCATGTGAAGTTTATCACTAAAACTTAATATATATATATATATATATATATATATATATATATATATATATATATATATATATATATATATATATATATATATATATATATATATATATATATATATATATATATATATATATATATATATATATATATATATATATATATATATGATAGGTTATTGATTTTTGGAATTCATTAGCTAGAAATAAATATATTTATCTATCTACTTAATCTAAATCTAAGATTGTCATGATGATAACCTATCACACAACACTAAATCTAAGTTGATGTGTTATTATATTAGATTTTTCAATTTTATATTACTTTTTTTCTAACAATACTATTATACTATGTTTAAATTACATGTAATTAAACTTTACAATCTTTAAACAACCCAAAAAATCTTCTTATATTAAAACAACCAATTAAATAATTAGATAATTGAAATCTAAACACACACAGACACACAAATATATATATATATATATATATATATATATATATATATATATATATATATATATATATATATATATATATATATATATATATATATATATATATATATATATATATATATATATATATATATATATATATATATATGTTATTTTTATGCTAGTGGAAATTATGCCATAAAAATTATATATAGCATATTTTTTATTTAAAAAATAGATTTTGAGCGAATTTATCATGTAAAATTAACTTTGAGTAAAAATAAATTTAAATACTCTTCATAACAGAATAATTTTAAATAATTATTATTAAATCTAATTAATCCCAACAAAATTAATTAAGTTCTAAATAATTCTCATTGTCGTATTAATCTAACACTTCCCCACCAATAGTATCACCAATACACCATAATATCATATAAATCACAATAATTTCCAAAAAATTATCTATGACTTTTAGGGAGTTACACATGACGATTTGCTGAGGGCCGAGATAATTACTCCTACCAAAGAAGATATGCATGCTGGACATTAACTATAAAGGATCTGCCCATAAATTCGAAGAAAGGCGAGACCGATACGCCAAAGGTCATGATTGCATTCTTATAGAAGGATGCAACAAGTATTCATCCCCATAACGATAATCCCATGGTCATCACCGTGATTTGTGATGATCAGGAAAGTAGAATAGTCTTAGTAGATCAAAAAATATCTGCACATAACCTCACAAGATCATCATCCATATTTATCAACAAAACCTCCCGCAACAATCTATAATAAAACTAGGAGTTTAATTTTTAATATATAACACATTTTGCATCACTTTACATATTTAATGTTAAGATATTGATAAAAAAAATTAGAAAATAAATAATTGCATTTAATTTAAATTTAAACTATTTTATTTATATCGTGAAAAATTTTAAATAAAACTTTGATTTAGTGAGATGGCTATGATTTTTTTGGTGAAAAGTAAAATGAAAATTATAAGACATTTTAAAGCAACTATTTTTGTGTTTGGAAGGTTAGATTCGGTAAAATCATGTACATATCAAACTCTTATCTTACTTTATGTTATCTAACTTTGATCTCGGGTCCATATAAAATACATGATATAATTAAATCTTAATGTGTTTATATCCAACTCATTTATCCTTAATATGTCTTTATTTTATCATAACTAAATCACCGACTAACCTTGAACTACTTATAATCAATATTTTGGAATTAACTATTCATCGTTATAGATAAATTATCATAATAACAAATTCAAGATAATTTAGATACATGGGATGAGCCCAATTTTATTATTCACTAGTTGTATGTATTCTTTTGTACAATATTCGTTTGTGTCATTCATTATTTCTATTACTAATGTTAGAAATTAATAATTGTATTTGGATAAATAAGGTTAAATGTTTGAAAATTTCTAGGACATTTAGGCCATACTTTGCGAGTTCTTACTCACTCCTTGGGTGTCTTTTTGTTGTGACCAACTCATGTAACATACTTTTTTTGTGAAGAAAAAACTAATTTAGGATATCGATTAGATAATTCAACACTATTTTTTAGGAACAACCAAACTACATTCTCTATATAATTCATTTTCCTAGTTATAATATTTCAATAACAAATACGGTAGAATTATACATGTTTATAATGGGTTCGTTGTCGTGTTATAGCATTATCTTAATGAGTATAATTATGCTACATTCATGTTTTGCCATAGAGGTTAATTATGATTCAAAAGCTCTCATTATCAATGGAGAAAGACGTCTTATTTTTTCAGGTGCAATACACTATCCAAGAAGCACTGTGGAGATGTGGCCTGACCTTATTCAAAAGGCCAAAGATGGTGGCCTTGATGCCATTGAAACTTATATATTTTGGGATCGTCACGAACCTGTTCAACGTCAATATAATTTCTCAGGAAATTTGGATTTTGTCAAATTTTTCAAGCTTATCCAAGAAGCTGGACTATATGCCATTATGAGGATTGGTCCTTATGCATGTGCGGAATGGAACTATGGAGGGTTCCCGTTGTGGCTTCACAATATTCCTGGGATCGAGCTAAGAACAGATAATCAGGTTTACAAGAATGAAATGCAAATTTTTACCACAAAGGTCGTGAATGTGGCAAAAGAAGCAAATTTGTTTGCATCACAAGGAGGTCCCATTCTTCTAGCTCAAATTGAGAACGAATATGGTGATATCATGTGGAATTACAAAGATGCAGGGAAGGTATACGTTAAATGGTGTGCTCAGATGGCCCTAGCACAAAATATTGGGGTTCCATGGATCATGTGTCAGCAACCTGATGCTCCTTAACCCATCATAAATACTTGCAATGGATACTATTGTCATAATTTTAAACCCAATAACCTAAAAAGTCCTAAAATGTTCACTGAAAATTGGATTGGTTGGTTCCAAAAATGGGGTGAAAGGGTTCCCCATAGAAGTGCTGAAGATTCAGCTTTCTCAGTCGCACGCTTTTTCCAAAATGGAGGTGTATTAAACAATTACTACATGTACCATGGAGGAACTAACTTTGGCCGCACAGCAGGTGGGCCATATATGACAACATCTTATAACTATGATGCACCGATTGATGAGTATGGGAATTTGAATCAACCAAAATGGGGACATCTTAAGCAACTTCATGCAGCAATTAAATTGGGCGAAAATGTTCTTACAAATTATATATCAATAAACAACACAGATCTGGGCAATGGGATCACACTTACAACATATGCTAATTCCACTGGCGCAAGATTTTGTTACCTGAGCAATAATGACACTATTAAAGATGCAAATGTTGACTTACAAAATGATGGTAAATACTTTGTTCCTGCCTGGTCCGTCACCATTCTTAATGGATGCAATAAAGAAATTTTCAATACGGCAAAGGTTAACAGTCAAACCTCAATAATGGTGAAAATGAGTGGTGATAATAGTTCTAATGGACTCAATTGGGAATGGAAAATGGAGCCAAAGAAAGACACCATGCACGGAAAGGGAAATATTAAAGCACACCAGCTTTTGGAGCAAAAGGAACTAACCTTGGATGCTAGTGACTATTTATGGTACATGACTAGTGTTGATATCAATGACACGTCAATTTGGAGCAATTCAACTCTCCGTGTGAACACTATGGGCCATACACTTCATGGTTATGTTAATAGGAAGTATATAGGATACCAATTTAGCCAATGGGGAAATAAATTCACTTATGAAAAGAACGTTTCTTTGAAGAATGGAACAAATGTTATAACTTTGCTTAGCGCCACCGTCGGGCTTGCAAATTATGGTGCATGGTTTGACGAGATAAAAACGGGCATATCAGGTGGCCCTGTTCAATTGATTGGAAAAAATAACGTTACTATGGATTTGTCAACCAACCTTTGGTCTTATAAGGTTGGTTTGAATGGTGAGAGGAAACGTTTATATGATTCGAAATCACATGTCGGTGTATCATGGAACACTAATTCACCCCATATTCCTATTGGAAAACCTATGACTTGGTATAAGGCAGAGTTTAAAGCTCCTTTTGGAAGAAACCCTATTGTGGTGGACTTCCAAGGCCTGGGTAAAGGACATGCTTGGGTGAATGGACATAGCATTGGTCGTTATTGGCCTTCTTGGGTTACATCTACAAATGGATGCAGTGACACGTGCGATTATCGTGGAAAATATGTAAAGGAAAAGTGCAACACCAATTGTGGAAGTCCATCGCAAAGGTGGTACCATGTACCAAGGTCATTCTTGAATGATGACATGAACACATTGGTTTTATTTGAAGAAATAGGTGGTAATCCTCAAAATGTTCAGTTCCAAACTGTGACAACGGGAATTATTTGTGCTAATGTACATGAAGGTGCACAACTAGAACTATCATGCCAAAATGGACAAGTAATTTCACAAATCCAGTTTGCTAGCTTTGGAAGTCCACAAGGTCAATGTGGTTCTTTTAAGAAAGGCTCTTGGGAAGCTACAAATAGTAAATCTGTTGTGGAAGCTTCATGCATAGGAAAAAGTAATTGTGGGTTTATAGTCACAAAAGAAATGTTTAGTGTTCCACTTGGCGTAACAAATAGTATAGCTAGATTAGCAGTGCAGGTGACATGTTAAGTCAACGTTTCCTACAAATTAATTTGAAAGTTAAATGTTCAATTATCAAAATTTAAATTAAATAATATATTAAAATTTTCACATCAAATCACATCGAAAGTTAAACTCGTTTTTCATTATTTTAAACTTTCATGTAAGTTGTGGTAACGACAAAAGTTTTTTTGTCAACCACCCCATATCTTTCGACATTTCTACCATAAAAAGTTGTATCATTCTTAAAGAGAAAAATGAACCATATAGTCGCCAACCATATGTTATATCTCACCTGCATTAGAAATCGTTTGTATCTTTGTTGAAAATTAATAAAATTATAGTGAAACAATACAAAAACTCACATTGTTGCTCCAAAAACTTAACGTTTTCAAGTTTGTCATTTCTTTCTAATACAAAACTTGCATCACGCATTTTATTTTTCTTTTGAAAATAAAATCATAGTTTTATGGGTATATTTTTTTAGGTAAATTTGCATTATTGTTTCATATTTTTTTAGAACAAATTTTATATATTTAATTGGACAATTATTTATTGAAAATATTTTATCAAAAGAGTGAAGGATATGAATACATATTATTGAGTCATGTGAAGTTTATCATTAAAATTTAATGTATAATTTAATATATATGATAAGTTATTGATTTTTGGAATTCATTAACTAGAAATAAATATATATAAGGATCTGCCCAAAGAAGATATGCATGTTGGACATTAACTATAAAGGATCTGTCCATAAATTCGAAGAAATGCGAGACCGATACGCCAAAGTTCACGATTGCATTCTTATAGCAGGATGCAACAAGTATTCATCCCCACAACTATAATCCCATGGTCATCACCGTGAGGTGTGATAATTAGAAAAGTAGAATAGTCTTAGTAGATCAAGGAATCTTTACAGATGTCCTCACAAGATCATCATCCATATTTATCAACAAAACCTCCCACAATAATCTATAATAAAACTAGATGTTTAATTTTTAATATATAACACATTTTGCATCATTTTACATGTTTAATGTTAAGAGATTGATAAAAAAATTAGGAAATAAATAATTGTTTTTTATTTAAATTTGAACTATTTTATTTATATCGTCAAAAATTTAAAATAAAACTTTGATTTAGTGAGATGACTATGATTTTTTTGGAGAAAAGTAAAATGAAAATTATAAGACATTTTAATACAATTGTTTTTGTGTGTGGAAGGTTAGAGTCGATAAAATCATATATATATCAAACTCTCATCTTACTTTATATTATCTAACTTTGATCTCATGTCCATATAAAATACATGATATAATTAGATCTTAATGTGTTTATATCCAACTCATTTATCCTTAATATGTCTTTATTTTATCATAACTAAACCACCGGCTAACCTTGAACTAATTATAATCAATATTTTGGAATTAACTATTCATCACAATTGATAAATTATCATAATAACAAATTCAAATAAGCTAATTTAGATACATGGGATGAGCCCAATTTTATTATTCACTAGTTGTATGTATTCTTTTGTACAATATCCGTTTGTGTCATTCATTATTTCTATTACTAATGTTAGAAATTAATAATTATATTTGGATAAATAAGGTTAAATGTTTGAAAATTTCTAGGACATTTAGGCCATACTTTGAGAGTTCTTACTCACTCCTTGGGTGTATTTTTGTTGTGACCAACTCATGTAACATACTTTTTTTGTGAAGAAAAAACTAATTTAGGATATCGATTAGATAAATTAACACTATTTTTTAGGAACAACCAAACTACATTCTCTATATAATTCATTTTCCTAGTTATAATATTTCAATAACAAAGACGGGAGAATTATACATGTTTATAATGGGTTCGTTGTCGTGTTATAGCATTCTCTTAATGAGTATATTTATGCTACATTCATGTTTTGCCATAGAGGTTAATTATGATTCAAAAGCTCTCATTATCAATGGAGAAAGACGTCTTATTTTTTCAAGTGCAATACACTATCCATGAAGCACTGTAGAGATGTGGCTTGACCTTATTTAAAAGGACAAAGATGGTGGCCTTGATGCCATTGAAACTTATATATTTTGGGATCGTTACGAACCTGTTCAACGTCAATATAATTTCTCAGGAAATTTGGATTTTGTCAAGTTTTTCAAGCTTATCCAAGAAGCTGGACTATATACCATTATGATGATTGGTCCTTATGCATGTGCGGAATGGAACTATGGAGGGTTCTCATTGTGGCTTCACAATATTCCTGGGATCGAGTTTAGAACAGATAATCAGGTTTACAAGAATGAAATGCAAATTTTTACCACAAATATCATGAATGTGGCAAAAGAAGCAATTTTGTTTGCATCACGAGCAGGTCCCATTTTTCTAGCTCAAATTGAGAACGAATATGGTGATATCATATGGAATTACAAAGATGCAGGGAATTCATATGTTAAATGGTGTGCTCAGATGGCCCTAGCACAAAATATCGGGGTTCCATGGATCATGTGTTAGCAACTATTTACTGTGGAAAATGGTAAACAACCACTGGTCCTCCCAAAGTCCTAAAACTAAGGGTAACTCGCAAAATTGACCAGTTGATCTTAAGACATGTGCTAAGAGTTTTATTATTATACTTATTCTATCAAAATCCTTATCAAGGGAAATGGTTTTTTGTGACTATGGTGTGATACAGTGGGAGAACTGACTTGGGATTTTGCGTTTGTGTTCGCAAATGTTTCAGTTTAGCAAGAGTCACCACCGACTTTTTATTTTATCCTAAGAAAAGGTCAAAAAGCACAGGAAAGACCTTTGAGATGTTTTCTTGGGTTCGGGGAGTATATTATAGAAAGGGAAGGTATTAGCACCCTTTCTATCCATGGTTATCCATGGGCTCTTAGTTACTTGCTTATATCACTTGCTTTGCATTTCTATTGTTTGAAATGGTGCTCTTCAATTGTTTGAAATGGTTTTTTGTGTGTGATTTTGAAAGATGTTTTGAAAAAAGGCCATCGTTGTGGCAACCTTTGTAATGATTCTTGTTTGAATGTATACAAAGGTGTTTTTGTCTTTTGAAAAGTTTTTCAATGTTTGAAAGTAGGGTTTTGAAGTTGTGTTGTGAAGTGTGTTTTGAAAAATAGCAAGGATGTTTTTGCAAGCTTTATCAAGTAACTAAGAGTTTGTCTACCCTAATTTACCCAAAGATCTTTCTTATGTTTTTAACCCTT